CCCCTGAGGGTTAAAAAAAAAATCAGATCATAGTAAAATATAATCCCTGCCAATTGATCACTGTAGTCAGTGATCAATTGAAAGGGAAGGGGTTAATTTTTTATTAAAATGTGTTTTACACAGGGGGCAGGATCAGCACTGATCCGTCTCCCTGCACTTCACACAGAACCAGGAAGTGCAGGGAGGCGGAAGGTAAGTATACTAAGCACATGTCCTCGCTCTGACAGCCTGGGTGCTCCCGGTCTGACTCTAATACAGAGGCAGAACGGAGCACCATTAACCCCACGATCGCCGCGGCGATCTGGGGTTAATTTTACAGCGTGACAGACAAGGTCCGTCACTCGTCGTTAAGGGTCTCCCCTCTGTGACGGACCTCGTCCGTCACTCATCATTAAGGGGTTAAAAGTAAACACAAGACTGCGCAAATTAAATAAATGACTATTTAGTAAACAAAACTCCAATGAAAACATGTATATATTAAATTATGCATTATTTTATTTAGGGATATATCTAAAAACAACATGCAAAAGCTGCAGGTCTCTTGTCTGAAGCCTTTGCAAGCCATCCCCTTCTAGCCCCGCCCAGACTTTCTGTAGCTGTCCAATCACAGACTTCCCAATGCAGCTCAATGAGATGTCTTTGCAAGGCAGGTTCTCTGGGCAATTTCCTGCCTCTTGAGTTTAGCTCCACTGAGCGAGCCAAACCAGGAAGTAACAGGGCCAACTGTCCGACTGACAGCCAGGGGGTGTAACCAGGTTAAATTATAAATGTGATAATTTGTAGAGACTTTAGATGTTTACAGTGTCCCTTTAAGATCAGAATTGATTAACTAAAGCCTTACTGACTTACAGAGTTATTCACTAAAATGTAAATTCAAAGTGAATTTTAAATTTAAGGGCACAATAGCTGAAACAGAAAAAAAATCTCCAAGTTGCCTACACTTTCCATTCAGCTTCTCTGGCCTTAAATTTGAAATTCACTTTGAATTCTTACGTATGTAAATACCTCCACCTGTGTGTATCCTTGGGCAACCCATTGATACACATCTGCCTGAGATTTTTGTAATATAAAAAAAAAGAGTACACACTGTTTACACATAAAACACTTAAACAAGCTAAAATACTTTAGGTGTTTGGAGTGTTTCTTTAAAGGGTTACTTCAACCTTTTTGCACACTTTTCTATTTAAAATGCTGTAACGGGCACTATTAATTAGATCCATCCCTCTACATTTTGCAGTAAACCTTCAGAAAAGGTTTTTGTCTAACCTGGAATCCTCTACCGGTTAAAGCTCCCATAGCTGTCCATCTGACGTCACCAATGTGCCTTGCACTGTCCAAACTCAGTCTTCTCATAGAAAAGCCTTTGACTTGACAGTTTTGTTGGCTTACAGCGCCTGTGCGCAGACAGTGGGGAGGGAGGCGGTGGAAGGAAATTGAGGGGCGGTGTGGGAAATAGGCTAGATAAAACCAAAAACGTGCATTATTGAGCTGATAGGGAGGGCTCAACTTGGTGGAGGAGGAAGGGGACATCCATGTGTTTTATGCACAGAATTGACATTAGGCAGTCTGGAATAGATTTCCCAGCTTTCAAACTCATGTGTGCAGGGGAAGTAACTAGCTCCCGGCAAACAAGTGTAGATATTGGTGTATGTGCAGATCACTGAAGTGGTCATGGTGGTTGGAGTAACCCTATAAAAAATCATCTCCCTGTGCAATGCTGGATCCTTTGTACCGTTATTACTATAGGAAACTTACCATTAACTAGCTTATGGTACTCCATCTGTCTTGGACTGCATATCCCATAATACCAACCACCTATTTGGAATAAGCAACAGCTGGAGAGGTAGAGGTTAGCTATCAATGGACAGATGATCACTAGCAACATTTGACTGTATGACCTCCGACTCCAAAGGGTTTTGTGTTAAAAGTTGTCAGCAGGCTTGCATTTTCTCTTAAAGGGGCCCTACCACATTCAATATTTTTTCAGACTTTAGTGAGGACAGGACAAAAAAAAAGAACAAAATAAAAAACAAACCAACAAAACAAACTAATAAACACACAAGCACGCATACGATAGTACAGTAATATGGTGCCTGAATGTAGTTTGAATTTATACAAAATAAGTCAGGGAAGAGGAGGAGTTCTAAAGATGGAGGGGGGGGTGGGGTGGGGGGGAGGAAGACCATGACAAACTTATTTTTTTACCCCCCATATACAAGTAGCTAACTATTGTGTTGTTTTATGTTCTTGTATACACAGCTAATTATATTATAGGTGTATATATTTAGATTGACAAAGGTACAAGGTCCCAGACAGGACATATTATGAAAATTAACTTAATTATTACATGCAGTACAATGATGTCGAATGTCTGTGAAGGGAATTTGATGTTTTGGGAGATTATTTTTTTTTCCAGATTTATTTTTAATTTGAAATCAGCAGAAATAAAAAAAAAAAAAAAAATTAATATCCCAAGATCTAAATAAAATGCATTAATGCCTGAATGGACACCTGCAATTTTAAGTAAATACAATGAATCTCCAGTTCTCATCATACAAACTACATATGCATAAAAAGTACATCCAAATGTGAGACAATCACCATAGAAACCAATGGAAAATTCCTCATTTGTACAACTTTGTCCCATACTTGTCTTTATACATAACCTACTGTAATGAAATGGCTTTCTACAGTTAAATGACCATAACTTGGAATTTAGTCTCAGAACCCTTGGGACACACAATGTTGAATTAACACTATATTTATAAGATGTTTACTATATTAAATAATCAGCATTTGATCATTTTACTAGCAAGTTTATCCATCGAAAGAAAAAAACAAACAAACAAAACAAAACTCCTAAAATTTGTACCAAAACTACCCTTCCTCTCCAACCCTACTAAAGAAAGGGTCATTTCCATTCAGGTGTTAATTTGCTTATTTGTATTTACTTGTATTTACATAGCAAGCCTTGCTGTCGCCATTCTACAAGACAAGATCTGGGTAACACCTCATTGTCACAGACACCCAGGTGACAAAGAACACTACTGATGGTGGCTAGGGGTGGGAGGAGGGGGGACTGGGACATCTTTCAATCTGAGACAGTCAGACTTGTAGTTTTTTGTCCAGCCCTTTATCATTTTAGATTATAAAATCCCTTCCAGTGTTTGACTTTTTTTTTTTCACAAAGAGGAAAAGGGACTGTGCTTTGAAGGCATCAGACTGCTCACTGGCCACGAATTAGCATATCTACCCAGGGATCATCTCTGCTCTGATATTGATCAGACTAGGCTGTGTGTTTGCTGCCATTGTTAAGGGATAATTGAGTGTCAGTCTGTGTCTGTGTCGTCTCAGTGGCGCCTTGTACTTTTTTGGATTGCTAATTTTACTAAAAGACTGCCCCATCCAGTCCAGCTACATGCTCTGACTTCAGATCAGGCATCTGATTAGCTTGTACTCGTGACGAGAAACAAACCAGAAACCATACTGCTGGGACCCAGAGCACACTGTCAGGCAAGGACTGGGGGGAAAGGTTAGGGCTCCCTGGTAACCTCACCTATTAAATATGATATATATGGACTATATTACCCTACCCAGTGCAGGATACACCTCATAGCTTTAAAACTCCACATGGCTTCTGTTAGATCATACAGGGTGTAAGATATGTGTACAAGATATTTATTTAAAGGGCCAAATATATGTGTCAGTCATCTACAACACGAATTTTAACAATAGCAATGTGGAAAAGTTTTAGTTTATATTAAAAGTGTAACATTTCTGTATAAAATGTTTCCATATAACTATAAAGTGGGGATCCTAAATAAAACATATCTCTAAAGTGAGAGACTTGTGTCAAATATTTGCAACATATGTATCAAAGTGCAAAACGTGTGTCCTGACGCTATTTTAACCACTAAAGGCTCTACGTCTGCTGTGCATGTATGTCACTCTGTGTCTTTGATAACTATTGTTGCTGTTTAGATGGGATTTTGTAATTATTGTGTAATGTAGACCCATTAACTGTCCTATAATTTACTAAAAGGCAGAAATCTTATATTGCACGATCATTATAGACAATCTGTGATGCCACATAAACGTTGCTTACGTTTTGTGTATCCAAAGCTTTTAATTTAAGGCAGGCTGATTACACAGCCCCATGCATTATTATAATTATTATTTTTTTTTAGAACTATACAATAATAATTACCTCTAACACGACATGAGGGGTAGTTTAAGGGAGTTAGAAATCAGTAATTAAAAGATTCATTTGAATTAACCAATGGGTTAACACTTACACTGCCAAAATAATGTACATATATGTTTTCCACACACAGGCACCCTTGTACTATGGACAGGATAATTCTTAAATATTTTTTTTTAAATTCCAAACATCATTTACAGCTCTAGCAGGGAAAATAGACAGGCATTTATATTTTATTTATATTGTAGTGGTAGTACCAATAATAGCATCATATTTTCGAATGATAATCCATAACATAATGTTAATTTACTATAAATGTTATTTTAGGGTGATTGTGCTGTCTGTCTGTCTGTCTGGTTAGTGAGGTGTGTGTGCAAAATATGTATTTTAATATGTATTATATTACACTGGGGCTGTGCATGGTGAGTTAGAATAATTTGCATTTCCAAGCTAGGGATAATGAGTTTTGAATTAATGCACTTACAGAAAATGAACTAACTGAGACACAGATGAGTGAATCTGAGCTCTTTTGAAATACAGCTCTGGGCTTTTAAAGGGTTAATTGAGCATGACTGGATAGGAAGCCCTGTAACCTATGTCAGTCCATGAATGCAGCCTTTGGAATATTTAATGAAGGACTAGTAGGCACAGGCTGCCCCCTACCTATCCTCTACAAAGGTACAGAGAAATGTACAGAGACATTTGACATCCAGTAAGGCTGGCTTTTTTGCCTGAGGGGCGTTGTTGGTGAACGCCCCAGCCAATGGCAGCGCAGGAGAGGCGGGACTTGCGGTAGAGGCTCTGGGTCAACGTTCTAAATGCTCAGTGCTCTGCTCTGGGGTACTCAGTGCTCTATGGACCTGGCTGGAGAAGGATTATTGGGTCAAATCGCTCCGTTTGCCGGTGATTGGTTGTAACCGAGTTTTCTTACAAGTCCCCTTGGTTTGCTGAAGCTGCTGAGGAAGACATTGGAGTGGAACCTGGACTGCTAGCAGCTAGCGACTTCCTTTAAGTTTGGTTTGGAGTGGGCTCCCGGTGTGAGTTTACTCTGGGGGGGACCTGCATGCCAACTGTACTGGATGGTGACACCTCCCTCTTACCCTCTCTGAAGAAGTGCAGAGCTGTCCCTGGGAGAGCAGGGCTTTTAAATGGATCGCCACTCCAGCCTGATCTCTATCTGGCTGCAACTGGAGCTCTGTGCCATGGCCATCCTACTGACAAAAGGTGAGAGCCAGGGTATGGCAATGGGGGGCAGAGCCGACATGGGGTCAGATATTTTACTGATAGTGATCAGCACAAAGCTCTAGTGACTTCATGCGTAAAATGCTGGTGTAATATAGAGCTACAGCAGGGAATGTGGATAGTGTACCATTGGATCTGATTAGTGAGTGTATTATTATTATATATCACTGGCTGTGAATAGTGAGTGTGTTATTATATATCACTGGCTGTGAATGGAAAGTGTGTTTATTATATAGCACTGGCTGTGAATGGAGAGAGTGTTATTATATATCACTGGCTGTGAATAGCGAGTGTTGTTATATATCACTGGCTGTGAAAAGCGAGTGTTGTTATATATCACTGGCTGAGAATGGAGAGAGTGTTATTATATATCACTGGCTGTGAATGGTGAGTGTGTTATTATATATCACTGGTTGTGAATGGAGAGTGTGATATTATATATCACTGGTTGTGAATGGAGAGTGTGATATTATATATCACTGGTTGTGAATGGAGTGTGTGATATTATATATCACTGGTTGTGAATGGAGTGTGTGATATTATATATCACTGGTTGTGAATGGAGAGTGTGATATTATATATCACTGGTTGTGAATGGAGAGTGTGATATTATATATCACTGGCTGTGAATGGAGAGAGTGTTATATATCACTGGCTGTGAATATAGTGTGTTATAAATCACTGGCTGTGAATGGAGAGAGTGTTATTATATATCACTGGGTGTGAATGGTGAGTGTGTTATTATATATCACTTGCTGTGAATAGTATGTTCTAATATCTCGATTTAAAATACAATGAGTATGTTCTAATGTTCTGTGGCAGTGTTAGTAGTGTGTCCTAGTAGTTAGTAGTGTGTCCATAGCTCAGTGTGTTCTGATATATTATAACTGGGTGTTAACAATGAATATGTGCTCATATCCCATAACTGAGTGTGCCCCTATATCTCACAACTCTGTATGTATAGTGACAGCTTTCTAATGGCTGGCTGACAGCATTATTTACTAAAATGAAAATTCGAAGTCATTTTCACGTTAGGCCTTTTTTTTTGCCAAATTGGAAGCTTTTGTTGATTTAAATAAATATTTTGATTTTAAATTCACCTTGAATTATCACACTAGTGAACAAACCTGTGAGTGAATAGTGTGTTCTAATTGTTTCAATGAATGCAAACAGTGAGTGTGTATTAATGTCACTGGATGTGAAACGTGAGTGTATTAATGTGTCACTGCGTGTGTACTAACGTTTCATTGGATGTGAACAGTGCATGTGTTCTGTCTCACTAACAGTGTTCTATCTCGAATAGTGAGTGCCCTCTAATATGTTCAAATCACTATGAATACTTAGTGTGGTCTGTGTCACTGAGTGTGTACAGTGAATGTGTTCTGGTTGTATTACAGACAGTATAAGTAGTGTATTTTAATATCTCAAACACTGAGTGTTAATAGTGAATGTTCTGCTGGTCTGCCTTTATCTCTCCTTTAGATGTGTTCATGAGTCTGTGACCCCCATTTATGATCCAGTAATAGTGGGCACCAGGGGGCTCTGTCACAACTTAAATTCATATTTGGTTTTATGGTTCAAGTCCCACATTAGTTTTTTTGACTGGAGTCAAGTGACCTTTAAATTTTAAAACAGTTGACCATTCACTTGGCATTCTTAGAGTCGATTTCACTGATCAAACCTTCAATCTTTTAATACATATTTTATTTTTTACCCTATGTATGTTTGAGGGTTGCTGGGATGAAAGCCACCTCTTTATGATCATCAATCATTTTACTTAAAGTAATAGTGTCCCTTATTTAAACTTCAGGGTGCAGGGATCTGATTCACAAGCGGAGTACATACAGCTCATTGCACAGATAGTAACTATTAAAACCTGCACTTATTTACTGTTTATTAAACAAACAGATCAGTTTTCGAATGTTGCAGTACACACTTAAAATAGTCTCCAAAATAAGTAATTTTTATGTACTTTTTTTTCATAAACAAAATAATTATTTTAAAATGTAAAGAATTTAAATATTTTTTAAAAATAAATCTGTGCTTCATTAATTCTATTAACATGGTGCTTATTTTCTGCTGGGCATACATAAAACGTTGTTCAACCCTGACTTTTAAAACCCTAGTTTTAAAAGCAGAACAAAATATTAAATACAAATTAAGGGACAGATTCTCTATGAATTAAAGTGATACTTTTTGGAAAGGTAGCTAAGGAACTAGTAGAAAAAAAAATAATGCTTTGTTTATTTACCCAAGGTAAGGCAAAGGGAGTGGGGGATGTAATTAGACCCAAATAAGCAACTTTAGCTGTCTCTGAGTGATACCTCCTGGCTCTATCAAAGGGAAATAGACCAGGGAGTAAGTGAGAGAGACTGATGTGAGGTCTGAGATACTGAAACTATGCGCCTGATAATGATATAATTAGGGGCTTGCATACTTACTGCCATTGACATCAAAAGCTTTTGGAAAAAAAAAAAAAACTTTTAGTCTCCCGTAGCCATCTTGACTAGAAACAGGCATTTTTTGGTAATAGCTTCATACAGTGTACAGAGAGGACTTAGAGAACAGAGAGGCCATTGTTCATAAATCCAAACTACCCATACCCTCTTGGCCCTTTGCAAAACATTACGAGAAACTTTATACAAAAAAAGGGCCAAAATATATTTTTAATGGAGCTGTGCACAACAAAACATTAACTCAGGGGAATATGTTCCCTATTAACCCAAAGGATCAACATCACTGTAGATAAGTCTGTTTTTCATGTAAACAAGATTTTAGGGCTCCTAGAATAATTATTGCTAAATTTGTGAGGTCAATAGTTTTTTTTTTTGTTTTTTTTTCATAGAATTGGTCGAAAAGTCCAACGCAACAGGAGAGCCATTGTTTAATAGTTACGTATCAACATTTTTAATACAAAGTTAGAATTTTACATGGGTATTGATACAGCATCTGAAAGAAAGTGCTGGCTGAGCTTCATGTGACATATAGCCCATAAACAGCTGGTAGCTCTCATAGATTTAGATTATACGTAGAGGGCACAGGCTATATATTATAAAACAACCAAAACATTTAAAAAAATAAAAACAAACTACACTGGTGCACATAGTTCTAAAACTGGTGCAGTTGCCATAGAAACCAATGGAATGTGTCATTCTGCAAGAGCTTTTCCCTGCAGATAGATTGCAAGCATTCCCGTTGGCACTGCAGTGGTTAAATAATACTAGATTTGCACTCTTCTTTAATGACTGGAATAAAAAGGTAAGCTCCCCAGGAGCACTTTGGCCTTTTAAAGCCTGAGGGAGATCTGGTCAGTGCTAATGCAATGCCTCCTGTTACACAGGCAATTCTCTGTCATTTGGATTCCATTAACTAGACTATTAAAGGAGGGTAGCCCAGGCCAGAGCATAAAGGTGTAATATGATCTCAAGGTGGGCTGCACTGTAACAACATTCAAACCTCTCAGTGCATTGTATGTGTTCTATTCTACCTAGATCACACTGATACACTAAATCCCCGTATTCCAGGATGGATGGGTGGGAAGTACTCCGTTTAACATGAGTTTAGACCGAGTTAGCTTTTATATATTATTATTATTTTATTATTTCTATAGCGCCAGCAAATTCCGTAGTGCTGTACAACTCTTTAAATCATAGTGTGTTCATGATTACATTTTATTAAATATCTCTTTAATATTTCAACATGTTCTTCAGTCTGCATACTGTGGTACTCAAATGGTTAATCAGGTTTATCCTTTGATCTATACATTAAAAAAAGATAAGATTGTATACAATAGCATATATATATATATATAACATATATATGCTATTCTATAAATTATTGTTTTTTATTATTATTTTTTTTATTTTTTTTTTTTTTACCCAGAGTTGAAAATCCCTGTTTATAGAAAAATGTAATCTACATCAACACTGACATGTACATATTAACCACTAAACATCTCTTATCTCCCTCCCTCCTCCTCCGTCTGCACATAGTACACACATTCCCTTTGAAATGTGCATTCTTACAGTGTAGAAGTTATGTTAATTAAAGGCTTTTACTGGTAGATGACTGGCGCATACATTTTTTGTTCACATCAGATTGAAGGGGCCCAGGGCAGGGAATATATATTTTTTTTTTTTATGAAGGGAACCTTTTTATCGTTTCCTTTTGGATAGATTTTATTTTTCTTCTGAGGTTTCCTGGAAGATTTTTTTTTCTCCTTAAGTGTTGTAGTATTGGATTTTTAATTTTTTTTTTAAAGTTTATATGTTTCCCCTTTTGACCACTGTAGATCGCGTGCAAGCAAGGGGGAAGAGACAGTAGTCTTGCAGTTCTGACTATTTTATGGCTTTCCATTTCAGCTTAAAGGAATTGACTTTGGCAAACACACTAGTAATCGTAAGCTACACGATTCCTGCTTTATAATGTTCATTAAAGAGGACTTTATGGAACAAATGCCCCTTCTGTGGCCGTACATGGGTGCTTTGACGCCCTTTGTCCTGGTAAGGCCGTGAAATGCAAAAAAGGCCTTTTTCATTTTCCTTTGGTTGCATATACTCCATTGTACAGCGCTACAGAATCTGATGGCGCTATATAAATAATAATAATAATATACTCTTTGCTGTGTTTTCAAAATCACGTACGAGGATTATTTATTTGTAAGTGATTTCATTCAGATTAACCGTTATTGAGATTTGCCACTCCCCAATCTACACAAAAATGTCAAAATATTTGTTTGACTCGTATCTGTCAAACTGTATACAACAGTTTATCTTGGAGTTTATTCAACAAACAGTGAGTTGTAGTTATGGGACAGCAGAGTACAAAATTGTACAAAATTGATCAGAGAATTGCAGATTCTAAGTTAAAATAGCAAAATTTAAAAACATTCTTCAAAGCATTTATTTTTCTAGCTCAACTGTTTTGACCTAAAAATCACAGAATTAGAAAAATAAACATGCCAATTCTCAGTTTTTTTTGCAAGCTTCCATCCCAAGTGTTGAAACTGGAAAAATATATTTAAATAAAGCTTATTGGAAGGTTTTTTTTTTTTTTTTCAATGTGACTATCTGATTCTACATTTTGATGACTGGTTAAAGTCACCGCAATTCACTGTTTATTTCATATTCTTTAGGGATTTTTCACTAAATAGCTAATTGCAAAGAATTCACCATAGACTTACAAATTTAAGGCAAAAGTAGTTGAGCAGAAAAATTAGCTGACTTGGTGAATATTTCCAATTTGACTATTGGGCCTACACTTTACACTTTCCCTCATATATCCAACAATTTCCAGTTTATTGAATAAGCCCGAGTACCTTGATTTCACACTTTCACCGACACATGGGTCGATGTTACAAGCACAAAAAGTATTTATGAAAATGGTGTTACATTACAAAAATTCGAGCGGTAAAGCCAGAAATGGCTATTTGGATGCATAACATATCTCCCAATAATTTTAATATTAATTTTAATATATGTATTTATTTTTTCTTATAGGTGAAATTAGATGCTACTGTGATGCACCACACTGTGTTTCAACTGGGTATATGTGCAAATCTGAACTGAATGCCTGCTTTTCAAGGCTACTTGACCCACAGAACCCCAATTCACCACTCACACATGGCTGCCTGGACTCTCTGGCTAGTACAGCTGACATCTGCAAACAGAAAAAAGAGGAAAACCAGACTGGGACAGTGGTACTGAGGCTGGAGTGCTGTCATGCCGATATGTGCAACTACAGAGGTCTACACGATGTCCTTTCTCATCCTCGGAGTGATACAGCAGGTATATTATTATTGCCATTTATATGGCACCAACCTATTCCGCAGCGCATTACAGTATTATAAAGGAGGAAATTTAACAATAAATTAGACAATTACAAAACGTTACATAAGCAATAGGCTGATGAGGACCCTGCTCTAAAGAGCTTACAATCTAGAGCAGGGTTGTCAAACATGCGGCCCCCCAGATGTTGCTGAACTACAACTCCCATGATCCCCTGGCTATCTGTTTCATTGAAAGAATCATGGGAGTTGTAGTTCAGCAACATCTGGGGGGCCGCATGTTTGACAACCCTGATCTAGATGATTCCAATCTATAGGAAACCATTTTAAATTTCGGTGCCTTTCCTTGATCTACAGGGCACCGCTGGCTGCGAAGACACTGTGTGTCTGGTATTGATTTTGTTGTTAATGTAATTAGAGATACCAGTAGGGAAAAAGCATGCCTAGAGTTAAAAGATGTATTTCTCTTTGGTTAGCTTTGATGTCTGTCTGGAGTCCTTGGCTCCTGTCTGGCTTTTAGTGCCCACTGCAAACATTTATTCCAGTGGTTGCTGGGTTGCTCATTTGCAGTGGAAATGTTGCATTGTCGCCAGTTAACTATTTAAACGCCAGTGCCACAGGAAACCTATTGCATAGCAAATCCGTAAATAGCCCAATCACTGATACTCGTACAGTGTTATTTACTAAATCGCAAATTGATGGGAATTCAAAGTAAATGTAACATTTTGGACAAATAGCCAAATTGGAACTTTCCCAGTTTGGGTATTTTTAAATTTTTTAAAAGTTCAGCTAAAATTTGAAACGTTTCCTATCAATTCCCATTTTAATTAATAGCCCTCCTATAGTTAATACTTTCTCTAGATAAATCAGTATTGTCCATATGTAACTCTGCCATACCTATTGTTCAACAGTTTTTAACACTTTATTTTTTTTACCCTAAACAGGAGCTGGTAGCAAATACCAACATGATAACACAAGAAACCTTATCACCAAGGTACAAGAACTGACTTTTTCAAAGGACGTCTGGTTCAAGGCGGCTGTCATTGCCGTACCTATAGCCGGTGGATTAATCTTGGTTCTGTTAATCATGCTTGCGCTTCGGATGCTGCGCAACGAAAACAAAAGACTGCAAGACCAGAGGCAACAAATGCTTTCACGCTTGCACTACAGTTTTCACGGACATCATTCAAAAAAGGGGCAAGTGGCCAAATTAGACTTGGAGTGTATGGTACCAGTGACCGGTCACGAGAACTGCTGCCTATCCTGCGATAAAATGAGGCATACAGACCTTGGCAATGATAAAATCATCTCACTGGTTCACTGGGGGATGTACAGTGGTCATGGAAAGCTGGAATTTGTATGATCGTTTTGGAAATTACAGTCAAGAAGCAGACTAGAGACTCTTGTTTCTATTGAAAAGAAGCACTTTATTGTTAATATAACAAAACAGACAAACAAAAACAAAACAAAAACAACTTACCCCTCGAAATGGGGAAGTATGGGGTCTTTTGCACAGTGAATATCTAATGTTTTCTGTGATTCCAAAAGATGTTATTTGCACAGACCAGGACTTTTAATAGACCATGACACACTTAGCTTTGCAAAAAGGCAAGACCCTGAGGGTTATACACACTGTCACTGAAGTTTTCTGACTTAGGGAGAAAATAAATTGTACACAATGTACAAGTTCCTATATATGTTTAATGTAAAAGATTTTTTAAAATATATATATTTTGTCTGGAATGTCTTTATTTGTGTCCTTTCAGAAAAGTTACAAATACATAATTTTCCACTTAAGAGGTTAATTGTTTGCATATTTGAATTTATTTTTTTTTTGCTTGGAAAGTGGCCCCCTGTCTATTCATTTAAGACATGGCTGAAGGTGGAGGCAGTGAGGCCAGGACGATGGGCACCGTTGAGACCCCAGGACATCCAGTCACCATAAAAACATCATTGTGATGAAGTTTTTATGGTGTCCATAGCGTCCCTTTAAGTTATTAGAGCAAATATCTCTTTGTCTGTTGATCTTCAGCAGGTAACAGGGGAGAGTTCACTTTCATCAATATCACACAAATTGGTCAGGTACATATAATAAAATAGCTTTATACACAAATAACATAGAAGGCAAAATACTATCAGATTTAATCATACAACTCCGAATAGTAAAATGTTGGCAAATATCCTCAACTGGACTTGAAACTTGACTTATTTTGGCCTAAATTTTTGGAATTTAAATTTAATTTGTCTGTACTTCATGCTTTAGTGAATAAACCAACATTTTTCTAGGTTATTCTCTAAACCAAGCTTTCCAAAACTCCAGCCCTCCAGATGTTGCTAAACTACAACTCCCATGATTCAATGAATGAAATAGGCTGAGAATCATGAGAGTTGTAGTTCAGCAACATCTGGAGGGCCGCAGTTTGGGGAAGCCTGCTCTAAACTGTGAATTAACAGGGGAATTTTCGAAGTTTGTGCCAAAATGGTTGAATACAAATAAATTCTTCAACTCTGCTTTCTGTCCAATTTGACTATTTTGGGCTAAAATATGAAGTTCTTTTGTGATAGCATAGGGATTTATTAACTACATGCTAAACTGAATACCAAATATCTAAAATTCAGTTTGCTAAAGGAATAATTTTATTTAGATCCTCTATTCTATGCGGTGCTTCAAAGGTGCTCTTTTTAAGCCCCATTTACACACCCTCCATTGTGATTCTGCTTGTCTCTTTGTGATTGTTTTGTAATTACCCCACCCTTGTAATTGAAAGACCCAAAGTGGAGCATTTGAATTGGGAGGCAGTCTTGTGCTTGTTGGTTTAGTCAATTATGCTCCATTAACGGGTGGAGAATATAGAGGCTGCATCATTTGGAGATGAACTGTGTAATCCAGATAAGGGGTGGACAAAATGTAGCATCTGAACAACTCCTAGAATTCACATCCACTTACTAGAATCTTGAAATGTAAGCTTAGCTACAGCTATAAAACTACAGGTAGCCTACTGTCAATCCTTGTAAACCTTGTTTAGTACTTTACACTCGCACTAAACTGTAGCACACGTGCAGAGAAAGATTAAAGGGACTCTACAGGCTAGCGATGACCTTTTATGGTGATATGGATTATACGGATAATTATATAGATACTAAATATGTACACAATGGTCAGATTCAAAGTTCGTGCATTTGCTGTCAATCACCATTCTTTGTATCTTCTGCTGTGAGCCTTGCCCAGATCAGGAAGTTGCTAAGCCTATCATGATAACTCCCTTCATTTTCTTCGGTGGGCAGTTTTAATCTTATCCATTGAATCCTTGTATTTTAGGAGTTGCAGGCCAGTCATCAACTTTGTGCTGTGGAACACTTACAGTAGAACAATTTTCAGTTTATTTAGTAAATGCAGCCTGGTAGCAAATTGAAATACGAAAGGAAAAAGGTAGGCAGAAATGGCGGATCTGGAAAAGTTCTCTCTAATCATAACTTGGCAATTTTTGGGGAATTTGGATATTAGTTCACTATTATCTGGAGTATAGTGAATAACACTACTAGTGATCAGATTGCATACTGCTGTGTTATTGTAGCAAACTGGGAAACTGTTTGAAAGAAGGGAAGTAATGGCGGGCTAAAAAAAACACAAAATAAAAGCAGGCATTTTCTTTAATCTTACCTACACATTACAGATAACAAGTGTTTACTGACCTTGAATGCTTTTTAAGACATCTTAGGTGTTGGATCAATTCATGAAAAGTTGTGCCCAGCAATGTGCAGCATTCACATTCATCCTTGTTCAGTGAATTGATTTCTTGCATTGAACTTCTATGTAATTCTGGGCAGAACTTTTCATGTGCTAGTCATCAGCATGCATAAATGATATGTGTTCAGGAAAGATACAATGGATCGTGCAAGCTTTGGGAGGACCCTAGATAACTCTCAGCAAGTTGATGTTTGCATTCCAGTGGTTGTCATTGCTCTGCTCTATTCTGAAAGGATTACTCCAATAATCATGTTCGTTTCAGTGATTTGAAGTGATCATGGTGCTTGGAGTCTGTATGTGCAGTGTTTAACTATGGAAATCATTAGTCGGCCTAAAACAAGAGTTCTCGACTGGCTAAGGTCAATTCATATTGCATATTAGACATTTGGCAATTCACATTGCATATTGGACGTCTGTTATCAACACGCACAGCATGCTGGTGGGCGGCTTGTTCCCCCCACCACCGAGCCGTCCAAGACTTCCTCTCATTAGTCCTTCCTCCATGGTGTCCCCAGATGTCACTGGAGGAGGGTTGGGCTGACGGTAGAACTTGGTGAGTCTCCCCTATTATTTTGGGGGTGGGAGAATGCCAGTAATGATTACTCTAACCAAGAACAATGTTTGAATAAAACTTTTTTTTTTTTGGTAGGAGTAACCCTTTTATTTGGATAAACCCATTTTTACATAAAACTGGTGGTCTGAACAGAGTTGCCAGTGCTATCATGTTTACATGGACTCATACTATTTATTCATCTGGATGGGCAGTGCATGAAGAGTGCTGCCCTGTAGCATATCTAACCTTCAGGGAAAAAAATAATGAAACAATCAAAGTACGTCCCCAGGGAAAAACTGCTTTAATCCATTAATTGATTCCCCGCCTGCAGTCTAAATAAATAAATATATTAATACGCAGGCCTTTTCATGCTCTGCCCATCAGCACGGAGTGGATTCAGAAGACATTGCAGATCCAGCAACCCGAGTTCTGAAAAACCAAATAGATGTTGAAATGTTAGAAATCCATGTAGACCTTGGTTGGGGAGGGGTAATCTCCTGTCATGGCTGTTCTCTCTCCTAAACTAATCAGTTCTTGTTGATGCTGGAGAAATGCCAGTGTAATCATATGGCTTTTTTCAGCTACACCCCTATCAAGGGCAAAAGCTTTTGGTTTTAGATAAGACTGTTTCAGTTCAGAGTGGGGGGAAGCTCTGTAAACACTTCTTTATCAGTCCTTCTGCTTTTCTACAAAGATATCTAATGGGTTTCTGCCTGCTTTAGGTTTATGACAAACCCTGAAATGTGTATATATACTTATTTATTGTAAAACTTTTTAACTCTTTAATTACACTGAATGTTCTAAAGCTCAGTATTTATGTTAGACCGAGCTGCCGTAGTAAGGTGACACTGAAAGATATATCAATTAGAGAACATTTTAAAGTTTAGTTAAAAAATTACTGGATATAAAAGTTTCTGTGAGCCAGTTATATTTTTATTTCGGGCCTAAAATATCAACTTCTTTTTTTTATTTTTATCACTTAGTGAATAACCCCCTTTGAATATAAGTTATACGTCTAAAGTTGTTTGTTTTGTGCCAACAGCCTGTTTTTTTGTCTGACTAAATAAAGGACAAGCAATCTCTAATCCTGTAATATAGTGTAAACTATATTCTTATTATAATTTGCATAATGCTGTCAGATTTAGGTGAAAGCTGCCAGAAACGTTTGGTTTGTAATTATTTTTGAGGACTCCTGAATTATAGGCCTTTCTGTCCAAGATCAGCTTTAAAACACCAAACGAGGAGACCTTGTGCTGATTGACGTAGATGAAAAGCATGGATTTAATTATTGAGACTGCAAATATAAATCAGTCAATGGGTAATAGCCCCTCGGGCCAGTGAAGTAATTCAGCTACTGACAGTGCTCCTAAATAGCACCCTAACCCTCCCCCATTTCAAATATTGAGCAATTTATAATAAAATTGCTTTTGTACTTTTATTCAATATTGGAAAACAAATTCATTGTCAAAGCATTAATGCCATTTAAATGGAAAGAAAAACACAATTTCAAAGCTGAATATATGTTTTTTTATTATTAATATTTTTTAAACTTAATTCTGTTCTTTTATTCTTGGGTGTCCGATATTTATGTTGTAGTTTGACACTACACCTATATACTAACTTGATGCATTATACAGTAGATTTATCAATTAAAAAAAAAAAGTATTTTTTAATGAAATATATTCTAACTCTATGAATCACATAGTTGATAGTAAAACTTTTAACCCTCTGCGGAGTTGCAGAGAAATTCACGAAGACTTATAATATTGAATGTTCCACATTCCACGATGGTATCAATCCACTATTGTGTCTCACAGTTCCTTATTGGACTGAGGAATATTTCAAAGATTATTTCTTTCTTATTAATTTTTCAGAAAGAATTTGTTTGAATGAATAGACAGTACGAAAGTATGGAATTTGTTGGAACTTGTTAAATCACCTAGACTTGGGTTTTACTGCATTATTGGGCTTAAAAAAAATCCAGATGAAATTACGGGCAGTTTTTTCTTATTACTAATTGCATCATACCTGTTAAAGCACCCTAATAAACCGTGAAAACACATCCTGGAACCTTAAATACAAAACAAAGTAACTTCTTTAAATCCCATATCTTGTACCCGTTGCAAAATAAATAAATAATATAATAGAGGAATATAATTTACTATTATTAGAATAGCATCAAACAGAGCATCCTCTTGGAAGCTCTTACGGAATAACAAGCACTGGTAAAAAAAAAAACCACGGAATTTTAAGCAGATTTGCCATCTTTATATTTACTAAAGGCAAATTCAGTCAAAATTTGATCATTTCAACTGAAAGAAGACAATTTGATGTGTGGCTTAATATTAATATATATTTTTGCCTGTAAAACCTGCATAAATTATAAGGTTTGCACATTTACCAAACATTGAAAGGGGAGAGTTGGCACAAAGAAGGGCAATGCTAACGTTTCATGCATTGCATGGCACTTCCTCAGAGATCTGCTGCCAAAATGTGTTTATGGCAACACAGATCCACCACGTAAGGAAATATGTGTCCTGAAGACCACAAAGCCTCCAGTAAGAATGTGGGGGTCTCCCCATTTTTAAATGCTTAACTGGAATTGTGTAGAACCTCTCAAGAGTTTTAATATATATATTTTTTTCTGTAAATAGAATTTTATTGTCTTTTTTCTTTGAGTTTTTCATATCGCAATTAGAGCACAGCATAGGGGTAGGACTCGCAGGTCCTAGACAGATAAATGTACTTTCAACATTAGCCGCACAGGGCTGCAATAAATAAGTCACGCAGTTGAGTAATACAGTCGTTAGTAGATATGACAAGTATCACGAAAAGTTACGCAACAACAAATAAAAAATGTATCATTTGTTCATACAACGTGGGTGGTTTTGATGTGTATTCTGTAGAGCTTTGTGTTAGTGCACAGTGAGCGGGGGTCATTTTAACATGTTATAGCGTTGTGGCCCCCAGTTCCTGATTCCCAGGTGGCTCTGAGAGTTGTTTTCTGGTTAGTTCCTATGTAGGGCCAGTTCCCTAGTTCCCATCCTCCCTCTCCAACCCACCCTATAAAATGGTTCAGGTAAGAGCGACAAGCTAAGGTGGAGGGGTGGCGGGCACCAGCTCCATTGGACCAGCAACCCAAGACCTCTATCTAAGTCTGGTTCTGTTCCTGAAAGCTAAATTCCCCATCTCCCGTGTCTTCCCCCTGTCATCTATATGTCAGTATGCTTTGAAAATCTGAGTGGTAGACCTCTACTAGCCAGTGTATCCATATGTCTAAGTACATTTGTGAGCGACCCTGTGCTGTAAACATCAAGTCTTCCAGTCCACGTAGTTCTTCCATTTTCTCAAACTAGGTCGTTAGCGGAAGGGGTGTGTCAGTCTTCCAATACAAGGGCAGGATATGTTTTGCTCTGTTCAGTATCTGTATACTTAAGGATTTTTCTATATTTGGCTGTTGGGGTTTTAGTGCGGTCCATGAGGTATGTGGTAGGCTTGAAAGGGGGTGAGGGTGCTGTCGGAGAACTTTTGTAACACCTTACTGATCGTTCGCCAGTAGGGAATAACCTATGGGCATTCCCACCATATGTGCAGAAATGTGCGTACACTAGTGTGGCATTGCCAGCACTTGTCGCTCAGGCCTGGTTTAATTTTCTGCAAGATTTGCGGTGTTCTATACCACAGGGTTAAAACCTTGTATGTCATCTCATTTGCTCGCCAGTGCTCAGTGGTGGGTAAGGTTGCATATTTTGTACCATTATTGCTCTGTAAAAGTGTCAGCCGTCATTGCTTCCCATTTACCCATCTAGGGAGGTGGTGTGAGGTTCCTATTGTGGGTAGGGCTCTGGAGGTATTGTCCCTTGCCTCCCTGGGTGGTATAAAACCCACTTGGTCCAGTTTCATGAGGGATGGTAGGTAAGGTGTCAACCTGGTTGCCAGGATTTTGGCAAAGAGCTTTAAGTCGCAATTCAATAGGAAGATAGGCCGGTAATTGGCACATTGCTCTTGGTATCAGGGCTATGTTTGCCTCAAACGTCTGGGAGGGAACCCTGTGTCAATGAGTTATAAGCAGACAGGAAATGTGGGAGTAGAATATCTGAGAACTGTTTGTAGTAGCGTATTGTCAGTCCGTCAGGACCCGGGCTCTTGCCCGGTTTCGACGTCTTAATTGCATTCCTCTCTAGTCAGGGGGGCTTCTAATGCTTCTGTTGCTTCTGCCGGTAGTTTTTGAGTGGAGGTTATTGTCCAGATATGCTTGTATGGACTCCATGTTCTGTATGTTCTGTGAGGTATCCACAGGTGACTTCTTTGAGTACAGCCTTTTGAAGTAGTCACGTGCCACTTGAGCGATGCGTGTCGGTACTCTCTGTGGCCGTCCTTGGGTATCCCGCAGGAGTCTTTTTTTTTTTACATTTATTTTATCAAATTTTATCAAAATACATATTTTCTCTTTTGGTGAATGTGATACATATAAAACAATTACATATTGACCATACTCTAACATATACATGAGCATTCACTAATACATTTAAATACATACTTTTTCATACATAACTTAACATAACATAACATAACTTTCTATATAAGCTTTTGGTTAAGGTATATGTTTATTGCTTTTCTTTACTTAATTTGCCCCGTATATTATTATTATTATTATTATTATTATTATTATTGCCATTTATATAGCGCCAACAGATTCCGTAGCGCTTTATACTGAGACATGTATCGGTCAGTTTCTTTTTCCCCTTTCTTTTCCTTCTTTCCCCCCTCCCCCACTGTTATGCTTGTAGGATGTCTATAAGTGCTTTCCATTTATTTATTTTTGTCAAACTGTAGGAATTATTTCTATTTATACCCATTTCCATTTTACATTGATATAACACCTGAGCCTTAACTACATTCCATTCTGGGATCTTACTACTTCTCCAGTTTCTTGCTAGTGCCGATTTTGAGGCCATCCGAATATGTGTTATCATCATATTGTACTCTTTAGGCATTCTAGCCCAATATAAATGTAATAAGAAACTCTCCGGTGTAC